TACAGGGAAGAAATGCCCAGTCTCAACCAGCCAAGGCACCTCTGACTTGTCCTTGCTCAGCACTAGCCCAGCCAAGCCTCCAGGAGGTCATGCCCACCAGGTATCCCAGCCCAGCAAGCATTGGTCAGAATCTATGGGGATGGCAAGTAAGGAAAATCTAAAATGGCAACAGGTCTGGTCCCAACTATCCCCACAGAGACCTCTGCAGGCAAATGTGCCAAAGCCTTGAGTAGACAGACCAGGAATGGGAAGAGCTTTTTCTTTTCACTTTTACTAAACCCACAAGCAGAGACCTGTCTTTTGCGCCGTGGCTGGTCACAAGTTTGCCCTGACTTAAAGAAATTACTTCCCTCCCTCAGGTTTCCTTGCTCTCAGAGAAAAGCAAGATGCTGCCCCTCACCGTAGTCCTGTGCAGACTCCTCTTCCTCCTCATAAGCGGCTCTCCTGGTGTCCAAGATCAGCTTGATGTTCACAATTACAGTCACAAGCAGGAAGAGGACGGCACCTGTCTGCAATGCAGGATGCTTTGTGTTACCAACTTGTAAGTAACAACCCCAAGATCAGGCCACCTCCTTGGCAGAGGCTGCAGGGCACGCCAAGGAGATCTTGCAAGGCATCATAAGCATCTGTCATTTCCCCTATTTTCTTCTGGGAAAAGGCAAAGACATACAGGTGACTGAGTTTTGGGGTGAAATGCTTTCATTAGCTGGAGAGCACTGAGCTCTTGAAACATGAGAATTAACCTGCTTCCAATGAGTCCCTGCTTCCAGATTGGCGAGCAGATTGCTGCTAAAATACTGCACCAAGGTGGAGGGTCTCTGTGTGCAAAGAGTTTGGTAATTCAGAGTTACAGCTCCCATGGCAAACTTCTGCCTCTCCTGCAGCACCACTACCCTCATCTCTCCCTCTGCAACCAGAGGTCACATCCAGGGTATTCAGAGGGAGAGGAGACGCCGTGTGACTAAAGCAAGGCAAAGGCAAGAAGCTAAGGTCTGACTTCAGGAAGCCACACTGTGCCACAGGCTGCAGAGAACAGCTCCCAGCCTCACTGTCTGCAGCAAACCAAGGCGACCCACATGGATGCCAACACAGGGGGCTATGGAGCAGTCCATGGGAACCCCCAACATGAGCATCACCATGTCCCATGCTCCTGTTGCTCCCAGAGCAAGGGGAGGAAGAAAAGATTACAACATTTCTACAAGCGCCTCTATTCATTGAAATGCATCTTGTTTTTCACTTCCCCGATTTCATTCTTTGAACCCAGCGTAAAGCAGAAACTACTCCACGTTAGAAGGACCTGTTCTGAGACAGAGCCACACAGGAAAACTTGAGCTGCCAACATCCCATGTTGGGAAACGATCTGCCTGTGGGTGTAAGCTGCAAGAGCACATCTGCTCACAGCCAAGAGGATGGTCTTAGAGCTGCAATGCTGATGAGGGATGCTGGATGGCCTGGGTTGAAAGATGAGGCTTTAGCTGAAGCAGTTTCTCTTTACTTGACCCAGGGAACTTTGTAACCCAGGGCCCAGTTGCTTCTTCATGGTGGAACGGTGACAGCAGCAAGTAGTGGCTGTGGGGCGCTGCATGAGGACAAAGTTCTTGTCCAGCAGCCAGAACAATGCACCAGCGCTGAGGAACAGCTCTAGCAGAGAGTCCAAAAGCTGTCCTGGACAGCCACGCAGCAAGGGAAGGCTTTGCTGTTGGATTTAAGACACAAAGCCCCAAGCAGCTGTTACTCTCAAAGCTAAAACTGCTGAAGGGCTTCACTACCAGCCTCCATGTCAGGAAGGACCATCCAGCTCACCACAGAGCCATCATGGAGGCCCAAACCTGATTGCTAAGTGCTGCTGACAGATTCATCCCACAGCGCAGCCATGCTACGGACATACCAGGTGGTCTTCCCAAGCCACGCAAATTCAGGGTCCTGCTAAGCTCCTCCAGAGGTATCACAGCAACCAAAGGAGAGGAGGTGACAGGCTGGTGGAGGCTGCTCATCATAGAGCCACAAGGAGATGCTGAGACAGGTCTGGGGTGGTTTTGAGACCCTCCCCTTGTTTCTCAACACCCCAACAGCTTGCTTTCTAAAAATCTGTGCCTTTTTCAGCTCTAGAACCCTCAATTCTCTGAGGTCTGGCATGGGGCTGAGATCACATACAGGCCTGCCCTTATTGAGAGGCACTAAAAGGATCTCTCCCTCTACCTGGCCAGCTATTCCCTCAAAGCTATGTGTTGCTGCTACCTCTGCCATGCAACCAAATGGGTTCAAGAAGTAACTGAGGAAGGGGAAGATGAAAAACCAGCAATAAAACAACAGATGGACAGGTAGAAAATGTGATATTTTAAACATCACTATATTTTGGCTTGTTTTGCTGTTGACTTAGGAGCATGAACACCTTTCGAGATCTGTGCACAGAAAGCTTTTAATTAGGCAAGAACAGGGCCTTGGGCTCAGAGCAATGAGCAGGCTGTGTCTGGTGACCAGAAGTAAGGCCACCTTTCCCACTTGCCCAGACCTTCCCCCCTGGTGCTGGACAGGCAAGGAAGCAGCCTCACAGCCCAGGTGACCATAGCTAACAAGGCAGCATCAAGCAGGACCAGCAACGGAGAGCAGAAAGACTGGCCCAGTCAGAGCTGCTGACAGAGGCCCAGCTGCTGTAGACCTGGCTACTCCATGGTCACAGCTCTAGTTTACATATTTTAAGCTCAATTTTCATCTCTGTTTTAAGCCACAGCAGCAACAAGAAAGAGAGACAACAGTGGACAGGCTCTAGCCCATTGGCCTCACTGTGGTGGGCAATGCCTGCCTGAATGACCAGGCCCGTTCCCAAGCCCCCAGCACCCCAGTGCCCACCACCCCTTCTCCAAGGAGCCCTCACAAGTCTTCATCCTCCCAGGCACACACAAAGCCCTCCCCTACTCTTCCTCCCACAGAAACCAACTGCCAGATTTCCACAAGCTCTGCTCATCTCAGGAAAGGCCCTTTTTCTGCAGCCTGCTGCCAGAAGGCCAAACCCTCCCTGTCCTCACACCCCCAGACACCCCCCAGGATGCTGGCTGCGCTGAGGATTAGCCGTTTTACAGCACAAGCAGCCAGGCCCATGGCTTTCCCAGACGCCAGCTGCCTCTGGGGGCACGGGATCCTGTTACTCAGCCCTATTTTCTCTGTCCACCTGTTGTGCCAAGCTTTGGTTTGCAAATCAAATGGGGCAGGGGTGGTTTCCCACTGCAAGCTGAGCCCTTGGCACAGGTCGGGAACCAGGAGGGAAGGAATCAGTCAGGTTTCTAGCTGAAAGCCTCCCAAGGACGCCTGGATAACTGTATCTCCTGCCATAGCCACCCAACAGGTCCATCTGCAGCTGGAAGGAGCTGCCAGACATGGCACACATGGGTACAAAGCCAGTGGATGTAGCTTTCTGGGGGACAAGTTACGTACCCCAGCATGTTAGGTCACCAAGGACTGCCAGCAGACCCACCTCCACCCATGCAGCTGCTCCATAAGCTTGTAAACCCTATAGATTATCCTCCCTAATCCACCACCGGCCCGCGGGTGACTCACCTGGCACAGCTTCCGTAGCGCACGCTGGTTCATCAGCTTGTACTTCCAGGCGAGGTACCAGCTGCGCTTCTTGTGGGGCTTGACGGTGGGGTTGGGTTTCCACTCATCCATAGTCACAGGGGCTGGCAGAGGGGCCGCCGCGTGGGGCAGGGGTCAGGACGCACTCTGCTCCGCTCTCGTGTCCATCGGGGCTCCCTGCCAGGACAGGACAAGCGCAGGGTGAGGGAGGCAAGCCCCTTCAAACCCTGTCCCCAGCAAAGACAGAGCCTGGCACAAGCAGTGGCTGTGTGTGGCACTCATGCACCACAAGGAAAAGCCCCACAGAGCCTCCCCGTGTGCCAGCACCCCCAGCCCCACAGGGAGCGATCCACGAAGCCAGGCTTTGCCGGAGGACTGTAAGCAGGGTGATGGGTAGCCCTTGAACCCACGGGCCAGTGAGGACCTCTGCTCCAGCCCAACCCCTCTGTAAGGCTGCTGTGGTGCACCAGGCCCACTCCCACCCCCGAAAAAGAAAAGCAGCCAAGAGGCCACTGATGGCACCTCCATAACACCTGCCAATATGGGGCCTGTCACTGGCCACATCGGCCTGTGGGGTCCCTGGAGGGGAGAGGCACCATCCCCACCAACAGGGATGCAGCCAGCCTAGATACAGAGGCCAGAGCTGGGCCTCGGACCTGCTGGAGATCCTGAGGCTCCCCACACAACCCACTGGGCCTGGGGTGGGATGCCAGGGGCCCAGAGGGAGCACAAGGGCCCCCCCAGCGGGGCCAAGTAAGGTGGAAAAGACTACTTATGGGGTGGGGAGCACTAGTTATGGGGTGGGGAGCGCTCAGGGGAGGAGAGGAAGACTTGGGGGGGACCCAGAGCCCTCAGGGGAAAGGCGAGGGGACGCCGGAGGGAGGAGGGGGGTTACTGCAGAGGGACTCGGGGGGGCATGCAAGGTTGGGGGAAGGGGTCGCCAAAGGTGGGAGGGAAGATAGAGCCAGGCGTCCAAGGACGACGGCGGCGGCCCCGGAGCTGCAGCGAGGAAGAGCGGGGGGGCCTAGGCGCTTGGGAACCGGGGTGGGGGGGGAAGAAGCCGGGCGGCGCGGCCCAGTGGGTGAGTGCCGGCCGCGCTACTCACGGTCCGTGCGGGGAGGCTGAGGCGAGACGAGGCGGAGGCGGGGCCCGGGGCTAGGCCGGGGCTGGGCAGGCCGGGGCTCGTCTGAGGCGCTGCCGCCGCCCCGCCAACCCCCAGCGCCAGCGGGGCCGCGCCGCTTCCGGCGCCGCAGAGACGCGGCGGGAGGGGAAGGCGGGGCCAAACTTAACCCCGCCCCTTTCCCCTCCACGCGCCGCTCTGCGCTCCCCGGCGGACCTCGCTGGTGCGGGCAGGTGGAGGCGGGGGGGCGTGGCCAAAAGGGGGCGTGGCCAAGAGAGGGGGCGTGGCCCCGCGGGGAGGGGGCGTGGCCGGGGCTCCGGGCCGGGGTGACAGCGCGGCTGCCGCCGCCGCCGCCCGCCCCACCCGCATGGAGGGCGGCGGGGAGGCGCTGCCCGCCGACCTGCGGGAGCTGGCCAGCAAGGTGGGCCGGCGGCCTCCCGCCGGACTGTTGCGGGGGCTGCGGGCCGACAACCCCCCCGCACCGCCCGCACCGCCGCCGCCGGCGCCACCGGCCCGCGGCTCCCGACCGCCCCTCGCCGACCGCCTCCGGGCGCTCCGCCTCGAGCTGGGGAGTCCCGCCGCACCGGAGGCACTGCCTGCCACCCCCAGGTAACTGCCCTCTAATAGCGCCCTGCCTGCATTTTGGGGACACCCCCCCACCCCCTTTTGGTTTTTTCTATATGGGTTAACAGCTCCCACCCGGCCTTTCTCTGCCCCTCGGCCACGCAGCATCCCCCCACCGGGGGTCCCACGGACCCCTCTGGCCACCTCCATCCTATCCCCCCCACCCTACGCCCCCCCTCGGCACTGAGTCCGACGGGGACCGGGATGTCCTGGTGATCAGGATTTAGGGCAGGGACCTTCGCCAAGGGCACGGTGGCAGCCCCCCGCCCCCCACGGGTGTCTGTCCCCAGGTGACAAGGCACAAGCATCCCTGGGAGATTTCCCGGGGTTTGCTTCCTGCTGGGGCTTCTCCGGTGGCTAGTAAAGGGTTGAGCTCCGTTGGCAGCCTTTCCCCGGAGCCGTGGGAGTGCCGGTGGCGGCTTCCTCGCCTCCCTCTTTTCGCGGAGGGAGCAAATACCGGCGATGCCTGCGCCTCCGGGAAACGTGGCGAGATTGGGCAATGGGTTCAAGTGCTGCTGGGGGAAGGGACCCTCCCACGCACACATACTCCAGCGGGAGGGAATGAGCATCGTTTCCATAGGGAAACGGGCTAAATACGCCCGCGTCCCTGCCTGCCACCCCCAGGGGGCTGGGGGACTCAGCCAGCCTCAGCCCTCCCCACCCACGCTTTGCTCTGTTTGATATCCCCCATCGGTGTAAAACCTTTCATCTTCCCTCCACTCCGGCTTCCAGGCTGCACCCTGACCGAGGAGAAAGGTCTGTGGGCCCTGGGTTGTTCAGAGGAGGAGGAGGAGGAGGAGGAAGCAGCCATGGTGTTTGCCCTGCCCAGGTGCAGGCAGGGTCAGATCACGGGCTGCAAGGCCTGGCTTTGGCCGTGCCTTATTAACCTTGGCTCAGAAAAGCTTCTCCCTGTCTCTGCCCTGACTCTCCTCACCGGCCAGTGAAGAAGAAGAAGTAGGGATGCCTCACACCTGGGGCTGGCACCTGGGTACCCCAAAACCCAGCACAGGGCTCCCCGCCATCTCCCCATCCCTATGAACAGGAACCAAAATTCCCCTCCCAGCAGCAGAAACCAGCAAAACCCAGTGCTCGGAGGAGAAGCTGGCCTGGGAGTAGGTGGTGGGATGAGAAGACAGCAGATTCCCACTCTCGCCTCCTGCTCTGAGGAGGATGTTTTGTCCCTGGGGCTACATGTCTTGAAGGGAGAAAGTGCCTGCAGGTTTGTTGCGTGCTGGGGAGGGGAGTGGGGCCGTATCCCCCACGGGGAGATGCTCTCCCCACCTCTAGAGAGCATGAGGAAGAGCATGATGGTCCCTCCAGCTCTGCTGGCACATGGAGTCCCCTTGGAAAGAAAGAGATGGGGAGAGGATGGTATTGCAGGATGCACCCAGGGAAACTGAGGCACGGAGCAGCTCAGGGTGTCCCATCCCGGAGCAGGGATCCAGGTGGGTCTCCTCCAGCCCCTGCCACACACTCAGGACTGCAGTTTCCTTCCTCCCCTCTGGATGCTGCTGCCGCCCCAGGTCTGGATGCCGGTGGGCACCGTGCGGGGAGCACTGGGGAGCTTTGGGATGGGTACAGGGTCGGTGTGGTGTAACCATTACTGCGTCTGGAGGAACAGAAAGAGTGGCTGAACCTTAGTCTCCTTCCATGCTACCCTCACCTTGCTGGAGAGGGAGTTTCTTGGGGCGCAACAAGACGGGGTCAGGCTGGCTTGAAATAGCAGCAAATCAACAGCCGACTCTTTCCAGCAAACAATATGGAAAGCCGGGAGTGCTTTCCCACCCTCTGCTCTCGGGGTGGATCCCCTGGTGTCTCTGACAGCCACGGTTGCACGAATGAGGAGAGAAATGGGTAACCCCCCTACCAGGGGTTCCCAGCCTTCCTCCTCCTGCGTCTTCTCCCTGCCAAGGCCAGATGCTTTAGCAGTGCGTGCAGAAAAGGCCATTGTAGGCAGTTTTTGAAATAACTTGCCTAGAAAGGAAGTTTCTGTACTTCGAAGCTGGCTCTGGCCCCAATCTGGGCACATCGCTGCTATTTTTTATTTAAATGCAGCTTGAGGAGCATGGGGAGGGGATGAGGATGGGTGTTGGGTCTCTAAAAATCTTTGCCCTTGTTTTTTTTGTGTGTGTGTCCTCCGGACTGAGAGGTGTCCCATGCTGAAACCCTGGCTGGAGTTTTCCCAGGCTCCTTCCTCGGATGCTTTTGTTGCTGCTTTCGCTGTGGGACCGGAGACGGGGGTCTCCAGAGACCGGCGGGGTCACCCGTGGGCGGGCGGGTGACTCTGAGGGCACCGGATGCTGGGGACCGGGCACTGGGCTTAGAAGAGATCCCAGGGGATGGCATGGATTTCCATCACAGATTGATGGTGCTGGGGACAGGGTGTGTTAGTGAAGGAGTCCGTGGGCATCCGCAGCTCCCAGCTGCCTGTACCTGTCCCGCAATGGATTTCTCTCCCTCTCCCCCACCGCTGCTGCCGCCTTATTCCCTTTCCTGGCAAAATATTTGTGTCCTGAGCAGGGGAAATCCAGTGGCTTTCGGCGGCCAGTATCACACAGACAGGAATGTCTTGGCACGCGGGGCTTTCCGTTAGGAAAACAGATGTTTCTGCAGCAACTGAAGTTTTGCAAAGAGCTTCCCCCGGCTTGGAGGGGCAGGAGTTGGCGAGGAGAGCAGTGTGATCAGCAGTGCCTGTCCCCCGCACTGTCCTCCCCCTTTTTGGGAGGGTTTTGGGTCCCAGGCTCCAAATCCTGCTGTGTCACGTTGTCAGCAGGCTTGGATCAGACTCTAGAAGGGGGGAAATAAATGCAGGAAGCGTCCTGGCCAAAACAGCATGGGGAGGTGGTGATGGTCCAGCCGACCCTTGCCCTGACCAGTGCCCCTGCCTGGTTCCTCCTGCCCTGCCAGCTGCCTCCCAAGGCTTGGAGGATGCTCTGGGCTCAGATCTTCACCCAGTGTCTCCAGTTCCTTGCTTGCCCCATAGGAGGCAGTGACTGAAGTGCCATGGATTTATTTCCCTGAGGGGGTTGGTTGATGGTGAGTGCCACAAGTCATTGATCCCTGATGGTTATGTCATAGAATCATAGAATAGAATCATAGAATTGCCCAGGCTGGAAGGGACCTCCAAAGGTCATCTAGTCCAACCTCCCCGCAGTCAGCAGGGACACCCCCAACTAGACCAGGTTGCCCAGGGCCTCGTCGAGCCTCTCCTTGAATATCTCCAGGGAAGGGGCCTCAACCACCTCCCTGGGCAACCTGTTCCAGTGTTCCACCACCCTCACAGTGAAGACCTGTCCCCAGGTCTTGGACAGTGTCCCCTGGATGGTTCCCTGCAGGGTGTTCCCCCATGCCATGCTGTTCATCAAGCAGCTTGGGAGACCTATGGCCACCACTGTGACACCTCTGCTGGGGTGTGCTGGGACTTGGGTCCCTCGGCCACCAGGGTCACCTTGGTTCCCCTCCAAAACCCTGTGCTCTCTCTGTCTCCCCGCCAGGCTTATCTGCGAGCGGTCGATGTGAAGATACTGCAGCAGCTGGTGGTGGTGAACGAGGGCATCGAGGCGGTGAAGTGGCTGCTGGAGGAGAGGAGCACGCTGACCAGCCGCTGCAGCAGCCTGGCCAGCAGCCAGTACAGCCTGGTGGAGAGCCAGGCGGCCTCACGGCGGGGCAGCTGGGACAGCCTGCAGGACCCCAACGACAGGCTGGACAGCATCTCCGTCGGTAGCTACCTGGACACGTTGGCCGATGACATGGATGAGTATTCCCAAAACGCCACCGAAACCACTGGCGTACCCACACCGGGCAGAGCCCTGGTCAGGGCAGAGCAGGATTGGGTGAGGATTGACCCCGAGAGGGGTCTTGCAAAGCAAGAGAAAGGCAAAGCGGAGCACGAGTGGCCCCACGTGGACATCTCCCCACCTGGGATGCCCCAGGATCACCGGTTTGCTAAGGAGCCCCAGGTGGCCAACGGGTATTTGGGCCAGCAACCCTCTTCTCCGGAACCAGGCAGAGACACCAAATTGCCATCGGGGGCCGGGGAGAAGCCGGGAAAGGGGAATCCAGGCGGGAAGGCTCGGAAAGCTGAGGCTGACTTCGAGAACTGCAAACTCAACAGCAAAGTGCACCTGGAGTACGATGCCCACTGGCGCTGGCTCCAGTCTCAGGATGATGTGACGTTCTTGTAGCCCGTGGCTTCGCCTTCCCAGTCCAGCTCTCCCAACTGCCCGCTCTGCTTCACTTGTCTCCGTTGGGAGAGCTGAGGTGGTTGGAGATGGGGGGAGGACAGGCTGGCTTGGTGGTGTTGCACTGTTCCTCTAACCCCCTCATCAGTGATGCAGCCCTACAGGATGGGGTTCCCACCCTGTGGCAAATTTCTGAGAGAGGTGGGATGAGGTGGGTTCCTGTAAATTTAATCCTTTGCTCTGGGGTGGTGCTTGCAGGTGACTGGTCACCGCTTTGTGGTACTTGATGTTGGTGGTGGGGAAGGGTTGGTGGGGAAAGCTGGGACAGTGGGACTCCTGGGACCTCTCCCCTCTAATCCTCAGCCTCCCATCTGCAAAAACTGGGGACCTTTCCCCCAAACCAGCTACCCAGAGAGGACAGGAGGTGCTCCCATGCATCCATAGCTTGGTGGCACCAGCATGTGGATTGCAAGGTGTGGGGCAGGACCATCAGCAGGACATCCCTGTTGAATGTGCTCATTTCCATCATCACCTTCAAGGCCAGTGTCCATCCAGGGTAGAGCTGACCTGGGGAACCTGGGGTTTGACCACAGCGCATGGTGGATCCTAAAACCCCCTACCCTGAGGGTGAAGCCCTGCCTGGATTAAACATCTCTGATCTGAAGCGTGATCAGGGTGTAGCTGCTCCTGTTGGGTTGTGGGGCCCTTGTCTGTGCCCTGTGGAGGAAAGATGACAGTGCAGACTTCCCTTCCTGATGTGATTACGTGAGAAGGGCAAAGCACTGGGCAGGAGATGGAGATCCAGTTCTCCCAGTTTGTTTCTGGACTGTCTTCCACCTTGGGACCAGGTCCTGCAGAAACCCCAGGATGTGGCAGCGTACAGGCAGCCTGGCAGAGCCTGCGGGGCTCGGACTCAGAAAGGCTTGTGCTTTCCCTTGACGCAGTGTGATGGCTGGGATTCTCCATCGGTGTGATGAGTGGTGCCACGTCTCTGCCTACTACCAGCAAACAGAAACAATGAGGCTCCTATGCTGGAGTGGATTTGCAGCAACCCTGCCCTGGAGACATCTCCTCTGTCCTTTTAGCCTTGGCTTCTGCCTGTGCCTTCTACTGTCCACCCACCATGCCTCCCAGCACACCCCTCACTGGCTTGTAGGGCATGGCTTGCAGTTGGAGCTGTGCGCGAGCTTGGGCAGGACCTGCTGCCTTTGCCTTGCCAGGGATGGACCTCAGCATCCCGCAGTCCCCTGCTTCAAGGAGAGGGGCTCTTCCACACTTGTGGACAAACCTGGAGGGTCCTGGCTTCACAACCATGGGTATGTCTGTCCCCAGCCTGTGACAGCTTTGCTCTCAGCACGGTGCTGTTGTTCCCCTGCCTGCATGGGTTGCAGCCTGGCTCTTTCCTTGCTGGGGTGGTGGGAATGGGGACAACACCTCCTGAGGTCCGTGGGAAGCCAAGAGAGATGGAAGACCTGGCTGTGACTCTTTCTAGATGCAAGATGTCAGCTGGCCGTGGTTAGGAGGGTGGTTGGGTGCATGACAGGTTCAGCTGTGTGTCTCTGAAGCAGCACCTGCAGTGGAACGTCTCTGCCTACTACCAGCAAACAGAAACAATGAGGCTCCTGTGCTGGAGTGGATTTGCAGCAACCCTGCCCTGGAGACATCTCCTCTGTCCTTTTAGCCTTGGCTTCTGCCTGTGCCTTCTACTGTCCACCCACCATGCCTCCCAGCACACCCCTCACTGGCTTGTAGGGCATGGCTTGCAGTTGGAGCTGTGTGCGAGCTTGGGCAGGACCTGCTGCCTTTGCCTTGCCAGGGAAGGACCTCAGCAACCTGCAGTCCCCTGCTTCAAGGAGGGGGGCTCTTCCACACTTGTGGACAAACCTGGAGGGTCCTGGCTTCATAACCATGGGTATGTCTGTCCCCGGCCTGTGGGGTCTCAGCATGGTGCTGTTGTTCCCCTGCCTGCATGGGTTGCAGCCTGGCTCTTTCCTTGCTGGGGTGGTGGGAATGGGGACAACACCTCCTGAGGTCCGTGGGAAGCCAAGAGAGATGGAAGACCTGGCTGTGACTCTTTCTAGATGCAAGATGTCAGCTGGCCGTGGTTAGGAGGGTGGTTGGGTGCATGACAGGTTCAGCTGTGTGTCTCTGAAGCAGCACCTGCAGTGGAAACTACCCTCCATGCTGAGCACCCCGCGCACCCTCCCTTCCCCTGCAGATCCTTAGGGCTTCCTTGGATGGACATGAAGAACAGGACAACGTCCAAAATTTCTGGAGATGGCACCTGCCAAGGACTTGGGGGAATCCCAGCGACCTGGGACCAGATTGCCCTACGTGAGCATCCCATCTCCCTGCCCCGGAGCAGCCGTGCTTGGCTTGCTGTTGCCTGTGCTCATGGCACCCTGTGTAGCTCCGCTGCTGCTGCCCAGCCACCATGTCCCCCAAGGCTGGCTGTACCCCGCTTTCTTTCTAGCCCTGCATGTGATGAGTCAGCTGAGGGTCCTGGGGGGAGACAGGGTAAGTCCTCCAGCGCTGTTAAAATAATTCTCAGCAAAAAATAGCTGGCTTAATAAATGGTAGTGTTTCTCCCAGGCCACGCTGTTGGTGCTTTGCTGAGCTTATGGGGGTTTCTAAGGGGAAGGGGAGATGCTCTGGGCTGAAACGTTCTGGAGCTGCTGGCAGCTCAGCAGGCAGGGCAGGTTTAACCCCAGTCCTGAAACAGGCACAGGCCACACGTCTGGGGATCCGTGTCCCTTCTCACACCACAGTGATGACACCTAAAATCACTCTTCCTGAAGCAGCTGGGCCCCAGAACTTGTCTGCCGGGAGCGAGGATGCTGGTGAGACTGGATCTCCTGGAGGTGGGCCATATTGAAGACCTTGGCTGAACTAGGTCTCCAGCTACAGATGGCATCTTCACCCTTCCTGCCCCGAATTTCCAGGGGAGATCTTGCTAGGATGTTTGCTAGCCCTGTTAGCTGTGCTGACATTTCCATTTGCCTCTCTTGTTCTGCCTCCTCCACCCAGGACGTGCAGGGGGGATTCGGGGTGTAGGGCAGGGACTTCTCCAGCCCAGCTCAGGGTGGGAGCAGCCACAGCTCTGATTTCAGGCTGTTGGGATTTGCTCCTGGGTGGGTCCCTGGAAAAGCACTGGAGCTGGTTTTGCTCAGGCAAACATCAGCCTTTCCAAAGCAAACGCAAGCGGCTTATCCAGCCCTGCCATCCCGGCCTCAGCATCCGTTCAGGCTCCTGGCTTTGAAACCCTGAGCTTTTTGCAGATGGAGAGGTGGATGCTGGAGCCAGCAGGACTGGGCAGGATTTCCCCATTTTCTGCTGGGCTGTGGTAAAAAATAAAGGGAACGAAACCTTAGAAACAAAATGCCCAGCCCATTCCTTCTCCAAACCTTCACCGTGGTGGTTGGATGGTTCTATATTGCTGCAGATGAGCCTTTGCTGGGGCTCCCCTGGGTGTCCCCCAAATCCCAGCCCTTGGAGCTGGAGGGGTGGATGAGACACCACGGTTTCCCTGCCATCCCCTGCCCCATTTCTGGGCTGCCCCGGACGAGGGATCACACACATCTGGGCTTTTCCCAGGCACATCCAGAGCCAACACGTCCCAAACCCGCCCTGGGGGACCTCCGTCCGGCTGGAAGGTGGGTGCAGCCGTGGGGTGAGGAGCACCCACGGGTGGGAAACGGGGTGTGGATCCAGTGTGGGTCTGCTGGCCGCTGCCTGGGAGGAGAGCTCTGCCCAGCCCTGCCTGCTCCTGCCCTTGGGCTCTTCTTGGGCTGTTCAGTGCTGGTGTCAGGTAAGAAAACAAGCAGGTAAAGCAGGCAGGATCCCGGCCGCTGCCAGAAAACACCCACCTCTGTTACAATAAAAACACCAGCAAGCCAATTTTTTTTTTTTTTTTTTCCTCCCAAGATATACACAGAGATTAGACTGCCTTAACGAGGCAGTAAAACACTTTAATAGCTCCCCCTTGCTAGTTATTAAAAAGTCCCCTGGGCTTTCCCCTCCCCGTGTGCAGCTCGGCTCTGAAAGGGCCTGTCCCCTGAGCGCTGCAGCCATTTAAGCAATTTATGTTAGTTCCTGCGGGGAGGCAGCGTGAAAATAACCTTTTCCCTGGGGGGAGGAGAGCCTGGTCCCTGTGGTCGGGGAGGGGAGGTGGCATCCAGCCCCTCTGCCTCTGGGTCTGGCAGCCCCATGGCCACACGCAGCCCTGTGGGCTCACTGGTGTGGGGTGGTCCTGGGGTGTGTGGGTGTAAGGGCAGCCTGTGGGACTGGATCCTGGCATCCCCCCCTCTCCTTGGGGGCTGGGATGCTCCCTCTTGGCTCTTGGAACCGTTCCCTGGGCATCGCTCAGGGGTCAGGTGCTGGGAGGAAAACTCTGTGTATTGGGGCTTGCCCTAAAATGCACCCTGTGGGCCACATGCAAGCACCAGCTTGTCTCAAGACTCATCGCAAGGCTTGTCTCAGACCTCCCCGCCATGGCCCTGCCTCTGCCACCCTCTGCTTGGAGATGAAAAGGTAAAAAAGGTCCAGATGAAGCACATCTAACCTAGGGCTGATGGTGTCCCTGCCCGCTGGTTCCCCCAGGGTAAGCATGTACTTCTTTGCAGGGTGACCTGCCTGAGCATCAAACCCCTCCAGAGAAAGTTTTCAGCCAGAGCGACGTGATGAAGTGACCCAGTCACAGCAGTGACGGTGGAGGGGTGTCCCCCAGGCCACCCCAGCTCCTGGGGGAGTGGTGGGTCCACTGCAGCAAAGGTTCTTTGTAAGCCTTTCTGGGGAGCAGTGCTGCGTGCAGAGCCCTGGGCTTGCACTGCCCGACACGTTGCAGCGTGGGGCAGGAGAGGCCAACAAATGGGGCAGGAAAGGCTGGTCATGCCCCCAAGCCCTGCTTTCAGCCCTGAGGTGTTATGGTAGAAGGGATGGTCTCCTGGGTAAGGCTGAAGTGCTGATGCCAGTCAGAGAAAGGTGGTGATCACCAGGGAGAGACCTGTGGATGCCAAAACTACCTCCATGGTGGCATTCAGTCTTGGTCCCAGGGAACCTGGCCCCTACCCTGGCTCCATCATGCGGCACTTTTCTGGCCAGCACCTCTCACCCAGCCTGCGCCCTGCCCAGGGACCCCCAGTATCAGGTTAAACCAGCCCAGTAGAGGGTTCCTGTGTCCTGAGTTTCCAAATGGTTTCCAGCTTTTCCTTCCAATTGCCCCAGGGTTACAGGTCTCCAGAGGCAGGAACCTCCTGCAGGTTTTGTGCAAAGAGGCAGTGGAAGAGAAGGGAGAGATGTCTCCCAGTGCCCATCTTCTAAGGAAAGGGCTTGCAGCATGTGCTCAACCTCTATTATGCACTGGAGAAGCCACACTGGGCCAGGGGTGCTCTGACTGCCCAGCTGGAGATCAGGGCAGCTCAGGGACCAAGTGGGAGTCTCATGGTCACCTCCTGCCTTCTCCCCACCTATGGGTCTCCCCCAAGCTCCCATGCCCCCAGGTCTGCTCTTGCTGTCAGCGGTTGAGTGACCGGGAGGGTGGTGAACGCGGGGACAAAGCTGGAGCACCAGCCAGGAGCAAGCTGAGCCTTTGGGAAAGTCCTCCCTGGGCTGTTCCCTGCCCGGACTGGCGGCGGGCCAGGCCTTCACTTTGGAGACTAATCCTCCAGCTTTAGAGCTTCCCGGCGCTCCTCAGGAGCGAAAAACAAGCCTGACTGCTGGGGGCCTCCCGGGGGTGTGGGCATGGGTGGGTGGTGAGGATGGGCTTGAGGACGTTGGGCACTGAGAAGGAGTGGTGGCACAGCTCTCCCCTTCCTCCTCCTTGGGTGGTGGGCACCCACCCTTGATTGTTGGGGTTCCCGAGGTGCCTCCTTCTCCTTCCCACCTGTGTGACCACCATTGGGCTGGGACCTGGGGATGCCCCAGCTCAATGCCACCCTCCAGGGGTGGCACCAAAAGCTGGATATGCTCAGGAGATGTGTGTGCTCCTCCTGCGTGCCAGCGCTGCTTTGGTCCCCGGCGCGGCGGGGAAGAAAAATCTGAATTGCTCTTCTGAGAAATTAATCTGCTTTCACCGTCTTAGTGCAGCCTGACCTAGAAGAACCCCCCTGTTGTTTGTTTTGGGTTTTTTTGTTTTGGTTTTTTTTTTTTTTCTCCCCGTGGGGTGTTTAAGGGAAAATTACAGCAAATGTGTTGCACAGAGGCTGTGGGAGACAGGGGCCAGCCCTGCAGTGGGGGGAAAGGGATGGTCTGGCAGGCAGGGTCTGAATGGCTCCAGGGGGGATTTCCCGTGCTGCCCTCTCCTGTGAGAATCCCTGTCCCCGTGGGCTGGAGAAAATTTAATCTGCCATAGGCAGTAAAAACAGAAATAGTAAAAGGTTAAAAGATGTGCCAGGTCCCCCCTGGCAAGGTGCAGAATCAGGGGGACTTTGGGCTGGGGAGGAAAAGAAGACGAGCAGCTTAAGGGAGACATGGTGTGACAGTGGGGAGGGCAGAGCCTGGCAGGGGAGGGCAGGGACACTGCCTGGCCAGGGCTGGTGGCCCTGTGCTGCATTGCCACCTCTCAGGGGGATGTTGGGGTACGTCCCCACTGGGGACACCCATGGGGAAGGATGTGGAGCAGGACCAGAGGGGGATGTCCCCAAAAGGGAGTGAAGCAGCTGTAACGGCGGGGACCAGGACTGGGGCTGGGGCTGCATGGGGGGACAGTGCTGGCCACTGGGACAGAGACGGGAGGTGGAATATGCCTCTTCCAGGGACCTGATCCCACCCCATCACACTTCCTGCTGCCCCATTTCACATCCCTTCTCTCTAGCCCACTCCGTCCCCATGGATAAAGCCTGGATGGCCCAGATACCACCCCTGGCTTTGCAGGTGCAGTCTGGGCAAGGGAAAGCAGCAAACCAACCCTGATAAGACACTGAAGCTCATGTTTCAGGGGTTACATCCAGGCATGGAGTTTTGTCAGCCTTTAAAGCTCACCTGCAAAGGGCTCTGTTCCTGCACTGCGGGGCCAGGAGCTGTCTGCCCCTTCCTTGCTCCCTCCCTGCCTCAGTTTCCCTCTTGTTACAGGTGGGGGGAATTAGAAAGGAAAGAAACTCCCAGCCTCCCCCAGCTCCTCACTCTCTCGGGGGCTTTCTCAAGGCTTTGCCTTGATGATCAGCCCAGGCCGCTGCTCCAGTGCTCATCCGTGTGTCTCTGTATGTCTGTCTGTCTGTTTGTCCTCAGCATAGTGCTGCGACTGGGAGAAAGATGCAACACTCGTGGTCTTTCAGTGCCTTCTGCAAAGAGACTTTGAGCCCAGAACCAGCCCCAGCTGGGATCTGTGCCCGGGGAGAGGGGTGATGTTGGGAACCGGAGGGGTTAGAGGCAGTTTTTGGGCAGCTGCCCCTGTTTCAGAGGCTCAGCTCTGGGCCCTGGGGCAGGAGGGCGCAGGCGGTGTGAGCAGCGGGGATTAGGGCTGCTATAAAAAGCACCAGCATCTCTCGCCCCTGCTCCCTAAGGCGCTTAGGGGAGGAAAGAGGGACTTAAAGAGCAGCCTCCTGCACTGAAGGGGTGCAGGGACTGCAGCGGTTGGAGCCCAGCACCCTCACCAGTCCCCTTCCCTCTCAGCATCCCCCAAAACCTCCCTTGGGTAAAGCAGCCCTGGGAGCCTCTTCCCATGGTCTTTCTCCCCAGGCCCATGATGTTGGATGGCCAGACCCTCATCTTCTGCTCAGAGGACATGAGGGAAAAGGAAAGGGATGGGGGTACAGCCCAGCCTGGAGTGAGGTTTCTGGTGGGTGAGAAGAGCAGATGAGGCTGCTGCCCTGTTTGTACTGGCCCCCAAACAGCTCTCTCTCCCCAAATTAGGTGGAAGAGAAGGAAGGTGGATGCCAGATGATGACAGTGACGCAGGGATGGGGGGATGTGAAGGAAGGTGGCACGGGAAGCTGCTGTCCTCTGCCCTGGCATATGGCAGGTTCCTGTGGGGCTGGTGGAGAAAGCAGTTACAGCCGTGGGGTCCTGCCCAACTCCAGTGCCAGCCTGGTTCCTAGTGTTGACCAGGTGTGATCTGGCGGGTCAGGGAGATGGTTGATGGTTCCCTCCACATGCACACCACTGTCTTGTTACCTGAGGGCTAGGTCTGTCCAGGGGCTGGACACAGCACCAGGATCCCTCCTTGCACCCCTGCAAAAGAGGGACTTCAGAGGTTTGGGGGGGCGGATCCTGGCACCAGGAGGCCGGGGAGGGAAGCGAGCTGAGGGCATTTCTTTGCCTGCTCCTTGCCAGCCTTCAGCCGCCCGGTGGGACCCGGAGCAGGCGGCCACAGGAGGGAGCTTGGCTCCTTCCTTCTCCTCCTGCCTGGAGGACAGCGGCCTTGGGTGGGTGACAACCCCGGCTGCTTGATGCAGGAGCAGCTCCCCATGGTCACACCATGACATGTGGGACCCGAGATGTCTTGGGAAGGGAGCAAGAACCTGGCAGGAGCGGAGGTGGCTGCCTCCATCCTCAGGGAAGCCCCCATCTTATTTCCAGCAGCTGGTGGGTGATGGGTCCCCCAATGCAGAAGAGCTGCCAGGGCTGTTACCTGCAGCCACGGGGGGACCAGTCATGCTGGTGAGTGGCATGTCCCCACGGTAGGGACTGGTCCCTCTGAGAGTGCTATCTGTGCTGGACACACGGTCTCACTGATCCCCCCAGCAGTGGCTTGGAGGGACCTTGGTGACCCCAGTGCCCAGTCTCCAGATGCTGAAAGGGCAGGGGAGTAAGGAAACCAACCTGCCCCTTCAACCTGCACAATCTCCTGGCCCCAGGAGCCTGGACCATCCCAGTTTCCCCAGCTCACATCCAGCTCTGGCTCTGCAGCCCCGCTCCCAGAGGTTGGATCACCCCCAGCATCCCCCATGCTACCAGTGATGCCATCCTACCATCCCTTGACAGCCCCAGCGTGGGAGCCGACTGGCAACCACCCGAGCAGCCACGTTACAAACCCGGGGCCAAAAAAATGGGAGAAAAAAAGGTGGTCGCAGCGATGACGCATCTGATTGGAAATGGTTAATTACTGGGGGGAGGTTTGTGGTATTGCTGCCGCCTTTGCTTGCTGCAAAGCTGACAAAGCCCCGTTCTGGGGCTGCTGGTAATGGCTCTCATTAAAAGCCATCAGAGCAGAAGGTGGAAACCACATCCATTTTCCCCAACTGCTTCCAGAAGGGGAAAGTGATGCTCTGGCCCCTGCTATTTAGGGGAATCCAGCATCCCTTTGTGGTGGCAGCTAGTTTGAGGGTGATGAGGGGGATGGCCACATTGGGATGAGTCTGAGGGATGCAGCCATATAGGGGCTGGTTTCCCCTATGAAGAGCTGGGTTCTCCTTCAGGTGGGTCACTTCCCTCCCCTTCAGCAACTTTCCTCAGAGAACAGGGGTGTGCTGTGTCCCAGCAGGGATGCTGGACTCAACCTGAGTTGGTAGTGGAAGGAAGGTGGTATTCTTGACCTAGGCATGAGGGAGGAAGGGTGCCTGAGGAGGTGGGACTGTCACCCCGCTGCCCCAGGGCCACGGGACGCATCTGCTGAAATGGGCTGTGAGCTGGAAGTGCAAAATTAAAGGGGAGGAGCGATGACCTGGGCAGGTCATCAACGTAGCGGGCTGGACTTGGCCCCTGCTGACCTTTCAGTGCCTTTCTGCAGCCCCTGGGTCACGCTCCAGCCCCAGCTCCCTGCTGCTTCCTGGGTCTGGTCCCAGAAACACAGACACCCCCATTTCTCATGTGGCCTCCTCATCTCCCTTCCCCTTCTCACCACCACATCCCTGGGACAGTCGCACACCAAAGGACCTCCCGGCTCCTCTCTGGTTTGTTTCTCTTGAGAGATTTCTTTGGGGGGTGTATTTTGCATTTGCTTTTTTTTTTTTTTTTTTTTTTTTTTTGCTATTCACAGGGAAGAAAGGGAGGTCACAAACCCATGGGCAGATGTCAGGGCAGGACTGACGAGCCCGGGAGAAGGGGCGATGCTGCCCACCCCGGCAAGGTCCTTAGAGGTTGGCAAAACCGGGGCGAGGAGGGTTTTGCTCCATGGTGCTGGCTCTGCCCATCCCATCCTCTCGCCGCCCGGTCCTGCAAGCTGGCTGCTGCATCATCCCGCTGTGCCATCCTGCTGCTCCATCCCTCCTGCTCCATCCCGCTGCTCCGTCCCTCCTGCTCCATCCCACTGCTCCATCCCGCCTGGCCCGGCCACCACGCCGGTCATGTCTGCTGCGGGAGGTGGCAGGTCTCCCCGATGGCAATGACCACGTCCTGGGGCTGGCGGTCCCGGTGCCGTGGCGCCTCGGGGATCTCGCTCATCTCGTTGACGCTGTTGCTGATGCAGTTGACATCGCTTTTGTTGCTGTTGTCATCAGGGCTGGGGCCGAAGATCCAGTCTGGAGGAAGGAAAAGCAGAAAACAAGCCCCCGGTTACTTCTGGCTGGCTCCAGAGTCAAAGCTGGCTGGGAAATCACTGCTCCCCACTACATCCTGCCCCTGACTCCTGGTGTTCACCCCTCAGGAGAGCCCCTTGCCCACCCCCACCCCTCCGGCTCCCTCCACCCCCCAGTACCAGGGTCTCTGCTCTTCCCGGCTCCACACTGGTTTTCAGGCTGCTGGTTTCTGGAATCCCTCCCAGTTCAGGCAAATGAAATCACCCTGCTAATCCCCAAAATGAAAATGCAGTGTCTCTGAAGTAAAGTGTGCAGGGGAAAGCATAGATTTCCTACACTGGGTTTTTGCTGTAGGAAACAGAGGAGGTGATTGAATAACTGTGTGACATCAAAATGGGACATGGCTTATCCCCCACGGAAGTGCATCCCAGACACTTGAGAAATAACACTTCTGTCACCTATGACATAGGGTATTTCAGAGTATTTTCTGTTTTCATTGGGCATTTAAGTTGCAGCTCTTCAGTGGGGGAGGTGGGCTGCGTGGCAGAGCGGGGGCAGAGAAAGGCAATCACAGCAAGGGGTTGCCTTTTTCATGGGCTGTAGAAAAAAAAGTTTTGCAGTAAAACCAAGGCAAATGATGGGAAATGCCAGGGTGGGATCCCAGGGATGAAAGGAGATGAAAGTCTCATTTTTTGGGATACCAACTAGTGAGGAGAGACGGGAAAGACCTGTGGGTCTCCGTATTTTTTCAAAAACCCCAAAGCTTTTCCCTCTTTTTTGAAGATAACTCAGAAGTTTTGTCACTTTTGCAATGCAATATTTGACTTTCTTCTCCAGACTAAAGCCGTTTGGCCATGACATCCCCAAGGGTGCAGGGCATGGCTTTCAGAGTGATGCTCATGCTGTGGAGCTGGGGTGGGTGCCCACCCTTCCACAGGGGCCAGGCAGGGAGCAGAAGGGCTTGTGCCCCGCTGCCTGGTGTGGACTGGCTGGGTACAGGTGCAGGTTCCAAGGAGGACAGAGCTCCCACCATGCTAGGTGCTGGTGGCATGTCCAGAGAGTTACTGCTTTCTCTCATTTTTCCTTTTTTGTTCACCTCCATCACCGCAGCAGCAGGATCTGCCAGTTGTGCAATGGGAAGGGCAGGAGAAGAACCACCACAGTCCCCATGACTACCACGGTGCTGGCAAGAGTGACTGGGGAACCCGGCAAAGATGTGGTCTAAAGGCTTTTGAGGAGCCTTGGGTTTACCCTGCATCCCAACTGGGGCATTTAGCTTTTGTTTGCATGGTCCACAGCCCCCACCAGAGCCTGGGCTCCCCATCACAACCCTTCCCCGAGGAAATCAGCCAAGCTCAGGAGGCTCATATAGGTCTTTTTTTTTTCCTTTAAAGCCTCCATTTTGCTTGGATTTACTGGATTTAGACAAAAGCCAAACACTCCACCGGCTGCTTCCCAGCCTGGCCCCGCAGCCTGGATCCCTGTCTCCTGCTTCCAAGACCTCCCGGGCTCATGCCAACCCCGCGCAGCTGCTTGGCATGAGGAGGATCCGGAAGGCAATAACAAGATTGCCTCCTACAAATACTATTAAAGGTCTCGTCTTGTTTTCCTTGACGTCAGTGGTAAAACTCCAGTGGGAGCAGGGGCTGGTCTGGCAAGGAAGAAGGGGAATAACCCATAGAAAAAGAGGTGGCAGGTCCCCGGATATTCCAGGAGCCATTGGGTGAGTGATGCAAAGGGAATCAAAGACCATGGCTTTGCATGCCTGTGGGCAAGGAGAGGTGGCATTTGGTGGCCAAACAAGGAACTCCTGGGGCCATTTGCAGGCAGAAGAAGCAAGAGCTGGGCATGGCACCATGATAAAGGCAGAAACACAGAGGATGGGTGTTTCGGGAGAGTGCCGGCAGAGCTCAGCAAAAGCCATTTCCATGGGAAAAGGGTCATAGTGCGTTGTCACCAAAGGGGACATGGCTGGCCAGGGTGCCCAGGGAAGGTGGCTTGGGTGAGGCCGCCGCAGTCTAATTCCTGGGTAAATGCGGGCTGGATTGTACGCGCTAATCCGAACTGCTGCTTCCCTGGGAATTATTTCTGGAGCCTGCTGGATCTAATTACCCGGTAATCTGCAGGAAGATGTAATTAGGCTGTCATTAGAGGGTATTTACTGCGATGCCTTTATGATTTGACTGTGTAAGTAAGGAGTGAAGTAATTACACAATTACACGTTATTTGTGGCCATTTATGGTCTGTAACTTCAGCATGTTGCCATGTGCAGAAGAGGGGAGCGAGGCCCCATGGAGCTGGCGGAGAATCTCCTGCTGGCAGGACCCTGGAGAAACCACCATAAAAATGTCAGCGCCTTCATCTCCCTCACCAGCCACTGCTGGCCAGCTCTGTCCCAGCCGTGCATGCTCCTCCCCAGCTTCTCCCTCCAGCTCCTCCCCAGTTTTCTCAGCCTGTGTGTGAGAAACTGGGGTTCTCTGGGGTCCCTCACAGGGGATCCCTGATGAGGGGGAGGAGAGAGAAGACCTGCATGTCTTTGGCTCAGGTGGGATTAAACCTTGCTCTGATGTGGAAGGACCTTTGCAGGGGGATGGGATGCACAACCTCACATCATGCACAAGGGAGTGTTAGAAACCTCGGATAATGAACCCTGCAGAGGGTTGTAATCAGGTGATGGAGGGTGGCGGGGTGCCAGGAGCTGAGGGATGGTGGTGACCGACTCAAGGTAGCTGAAGCCCTTAGCATTGCGACAGGTATTTCTCTTTTCATGCCTTACATCTGGCAGGAGGTCTGCATGACCAGCAGAAAATGGGCACAATTAGCACTGAGAAGAAAATGAAATCCTCTTTTGGAGCAAAGTCCACATTCAGGTTCACATGTGCTCTAGCTAGAAGGCAAGCAAAGTCAAGCTGAACTGGGACACCCAATGGATCTGGGGCATCCAAAGGCAGAGCTGGGGTGAGCAGGGGTCCCATGGTGAGCTCCTGGGGCAGTGGCTCCCCTGGACTCAGGATGGTCACACCCGGGAGGGGAGGAAATGCATTGCCTGCCCCTACCCAGCCCCTGGAAGGAGCTTGTAACATCCTGCAAAATCAGGGTGTGCACATGGGCAGGTATGTGAATGCCTCAGATAAAAGAGAAGGACAAAGTGACTTTCTCAGTCAGGCCTGGAGAGCAGCATCTAACCCAGGGACACCTCTCCCTGCTCGTCTGGTGCTGCTGAGGCGCAGCGTGTCTGCTGAGGTCTTGCAGGGTGAAAGGCGAGGTGGAAAGTGCTGAGATGGGGTGAGATCGATATGGAGTTATTGATCCAAAGCAGCTGGGGAGAGGAGATAGGGTAGACTGGGTAAACCAGGAGCTGCGGAGTAGCAGCTCTCCCTAAATAGCAGAGTGATGTGGCACAAAGTGCCCCTGCACCTCCCTGGCTCTGCCCGAGTCTTTGACAGCATCCCTGGAAGCAGGACCTTTGGGATGTGCTGATCCAAGGAGGCAGAAAAATACTGTTCTGGGTGGCCTAGGTTTTGCAGCGCCTCCTCATACCAGTGGCATGAGGGACTGTCCTTGCTTGGAAACCTTTTACAGTGGCAGGCAGTGGGGAGCAGCCTCCTGCTGCCTGTCTGCACAGGGGCACGGGGATGCTCTATGCCCAGTCTCATCCCAGTGGATTGGCCAGGTCCCCTGCATTCATCAGTGACAGGGCAGGATGTCCACGAGGCACTTCAGCCACTGGAAAAGAGACGTCCCTGACAGAAGAGCAAAAGGAGGTGGGAGAAAGGGCTGAAATTTAAATGCAACCCGGTGAGTGAGACGTTCACACTCCCTGCAGAGATGGAAACAAGCAATGGAAGGCGAGACAGGTTAGATGAACAATCAAACTCGTGCTCTAGTTTTACTTGCTTTAAATGGAGCTGGGTGTGAAAACAGCTGCTAAAAAAGCCTTTTTCCCAGCAGCAGGAGCAGAAGACCTCTTTGTTTGAAACAGGTCCTGACCCAGCGATTGCCTCATACACTGCAGTGAGGCAGGACCAGCTCCAGCCAAAGCACTACCGTCGGACACAAGTTCAAGGGTATCCCTCACGTGTTTGACATGATGCAGCAGTCGCAGCTGGACACTGTATCCGTCTCATTTGCAAGACAGACTTTGCTTATTCATTAGCAAAATCAGCAGACATCTCCCAGGTTGGTTCTGCCAGCAAATCTCTGTCTGCCTCTGCCAGTAGTAATTTGTTAGCAAGAAGTCCCCCTTTTCCCTCCAAGATTCATGTCTTTCTAAATGAAGTTGCTGTTGGAGTCCATTCTTCCCTCCTGTTTTGCAGAGATTTCTTAGGTCAGCTGTGCTGGCTGAGTCAAAAGTGTCCTGCAGTGTGGACAACGGCTTTGCTGATGGACAGGTAAGGATGCTGTCCCTCTGCAGAGCTGTCACCAGCGTAAGGGGTCTGGTGGGGTGACACGGTAAAGGCATTCAATTAATCATGATATTCTCTTAAAAGTAGCTTCTCTGCACCAGTATAAGCCTCAACCAAGCCTGCGTTTGATCCCAGTCCCACCTGCTGGGCAGCATTGCTGCTCCGGAGACTGGATCTCCGAGGGGTAATGACTCAGGTGTGGTACGTGGGAGGCAGGGATGCTCCTGGAGGTGGTTAGTTGCTCTCCGCATCTTCCAGCCTGAGGCATTTGCCAGAGGCAGAGCAAAGATGGTGAGAGGGTGAGGAGCCCTGCTCGGTCTCAGCTTGAGGAAGACCAGCACTTGCAGAGGAGCAGAGCAGAAAGGCCTGGGCCTCACCTCAGGGACCTGACACAGCCAGTTGTTGGACCATGCGATGGTCGAAATGGAAATGGTGCTGTGGGATGGTACATCCTCGAGGCCAGCCTTGGTTGATCCTTGGCAGCACATGCTGGTAGCCATCTCAGTGCTCGGGCTTTGTGCTTCAAAGGTTTGGCCATGAAACAGTCCAAGAGTGGAGCCACCTCTGCCTGCTTTTCTCATGGCCTGAGCACTGTGGCCACTTGTCCAGCCGATAGCCACAGCCACGGCAATGCTAAGGTGGATGTGGGGATGGGGCATCTGCCTGTTATTACAGAATCTGGGAGTGGGAATTAGCCTGGTGAAAGCCACCCTACTATAGTTGCTGCTAGACATCAGCACCCCTAGACCAGCAGCTAAGGAACCCCCAATGCACCCCCATGCACCAAAAGGGAAACTGAGGCTGGGGGGTTGGTGTCAGAGGTGGGTTAGCACCAAAGTGGGGAAACAGAAGGGAACCTCACACAGTCTCTTCTTTTCCCATAACTTTGGCAGGCAAATGAATCATCCTCAGAACAGAGCCCCAAAAGAAGACATAAGCCCTCTCTGACGGGCCCGAGACGCTATCTGCAGTCCCTGCCATGGGCTGAATTATCCTAAGAGCCCTGCGGTTCTGCGTGGGAGCAATTAAAAGCGGATCCCGAGTCCCTGCAGGATCACCCAGCAGCTATTTTCAGCAACGCTACATTCATGCACTGTTTCTTTGTTCAAGGAGACCGTTTCCCAAAGAAGCCTGAAATGTGGCGGGTGGAGATAAGGCTGAAAAATAAAAATACAGCTGGTGGGTCGAAAGGGCAAAGAAAAGAAAGATCCCGCTCCAAGACAGGCTTAGGGTTCTGAGTGGTCCTGAAACCACGGACCAGCACAGTCCCACCAGTGCTGGTGAACCTGCCCTGCCTTATCTGGGGGGGGCATCTGCCATGGGCCCATTCCCGGAGGAGAAGTTTCCTCAAGGTCTCCTCTGGAGACCAGCAACTCAGAGGAGACCTCGGCTGAACCAAGGGACACTGGCAAAGGTCTTCCTGCAAAGCATCAGCTCCCACGCAGACCAAGAGACCCTTCCTGTGTGGTTTCCGTGCAGGCAGCGAGATGCTTTCCCGGGGACCACACGCGCCGCAGTCTCCATGGCAACAGCTTTGTTTCCAGTCAAACTTTTTCTCTTCCCCCCCCCTCCTTATTTTTTTCTCTCTTTTTTTTTTTTCCCTCCTTTTTTGTATGTGTGTGTGTTTAAACAAGGGCGATATTGGGTGAACTGCTGGGGACGGAGGAGGGAGGGCGGGCTGATTCCCCAGGATTGCAGTAATTAGGCGCTTTGTAGGCTGGCGACAGGCTTGTCATTTGCCAAACCAGCACTTCGCCGCAGCGCCGTCTCCGGCAGCTCTCCAGCGCTCCCCAGTTAAGCTGCTTTCCAAACGCTTCGACCCCATTTGTCTTAACTGGTCGCCGTGTCGGAGCCGCACTCACGCAGGAACCATCGTTCTGCCTCGGGGTGAGGGGGCTGGCAACGGTCCCCCAAGCGGAGATGCCCGAGGAGTTTTGGGAAAGTTGCAAATGTGAGGCTTTGCATACTCAGAGCAAGCGGGGAGGAACTGGAGAGAAATTAAGGTATTTTGGGCTCTTCTTGGCCAGGTCTCTCAAGGAAGAGCTGAACACAGGCTCTCTGAGAGCCCTTTTATCCATATCCAGGTGGTCGGGGGGATGAGGACCGACAGGATCCCCACCCCGGCCGAGGGGAATTCTGCCTTCCCTCTCTCCAGCAATACATCCTTCCCTCTCCTCCAATGCAGCCTCCCATTTTCTGCTCCTCCCCACCCTGCTGGGCATCACAGCAGCATTTGCCCGGACAAGCTCTTAATTGAATTTTTAAAAAGTGGCTGTGAGAGCGGTGCTGGTGTCCCAAATATCCGTTCAGATTTCGCAGGGAGAGAGCTCACCAGCATCCCGAGAGCCCGTCCGCCATCCCAAACTGAGCCCAGCGCCCGCTTCTTGCAGTCCCTGTGAGCACACGGGGATGGGGTGATGCTTTAACCCCCCCCAGCCGTGTCCTACAAGCTGTTATTGAGGAATCCAAATCATTCTTGATGTCTCCAAGTGACTGTTTAAAGTAGCGATTAACTATTCACACTTTAATCTCCCCGAAACAGACTCCAGCCCTTTGGCATCTTATTTCCACATCTCTGTCTATCCTTCTAAATATGATTAGCACAGAAACGCTGATAGTGAGGGTTGGAGCTGCTACTGAGTATATAAATCCAGGCATTGTGTTAAAGCAGCTAATAGACCAGCTTCTTATTTACTATCCTTCAGTCCCTCTGTCCTGTCCCTGAAGTCATTTTATGCAAACTCATTCAAATGAAACCTTCTCTTTAAAGGCTGCTGCTTGGCAGTGTTAACAAACACAGTCTCGTCCGCTCTCCTCCGAGGACTGGCTCATTTTAAGCGTATAAATGGTGTGAAGACGGGCCCGGAGTGCTAAATAGGACAAGCTGGAAGCAGCCTTTGGGTGCTGCTGGAGTTTGGGAAATGCCATCTCCTCTCTGTCTGGATGGGGCAGAAGGTCACATCTGGATTTCTGATCCCAACTCAGAGAGGTGTCACCTCCAGCCAGGGCAGGGAGGATGCTCTGCCCTCAGTGAGGGTGTTCAGCTGGGAACGGGCTTCTTCCAAAGTGGCAGCAAGCGGACAGACCCCAGGGCTGTCCCCCTGGTGCTGTGAGAGGCTGTGGAAGTCCCTTTGCAAAGGGCTTTGCGATGGAAGGGGCTCCCCACTGACCCCGTCCCACGCAGACGTCCCACGCAAAAGCAAAAGGTGCCCAAGGTCACCAGGGAGCGATGGTGCTGAGCTGGAAATAGCGTGGTGTGGGCACGGGTGCCTCTGACTGTGGCTTCAGCCTCTCTCCCTGCCTGGGGGGGCATGACATTTATGATGATTTTTGACCCTGCTTTGCATTACCCACCCCAGGGGTGGTTTTGAGCACCCACATCCACTCTCTCCTGCATCAGAGACCCCAGCAATTGAGGCAGGGGTGTCTCTTCCATGGGGTCACTGCGTCTGGACCGGCTCCCACCTTGGGGGTGTTTCTAACCCGCTCTGACCTGGTCCTTTGAGCATCTCAGGACAGAAGCCTGTATATTTTTAGGTGCTGTCCCTGCTGCCTACCTTTGTTGGGAAGGCAACGCTAAATCAGATGAACGGCAGAGCCAGGAGACGCTACAGCCCCAGAAAGCTGCTGATTAAGTGTTATATTTAACACTTTAAGACAGTATCCGTTCCCTTCCAGCTGGGGCGAAGAAAGACTCCTCAGCAGCAGCTCCCTGCCGTTCTCCTGGCTGAGCCTCGTGTGTGACCCCAAGCACTGCTCCCTGCCAGGATGTTCAACCCTTCCTGTCCCAAATACCTCCTCCCCAAATACCCATGTCCCAGATCTGCCAGCCCCTGCCTGGTGGCGACCCCCTGCCCCAAGGACTTGGCTTGCCCTCCCATCAGCAAGGCATTGGCCGGTACCCATGTCCCAGATCTGCCAGCCCCTGCCCGGTGGTGACCCCCTGCCCCAAGGACTTGGCTTGTCCTCCCATCAGCAAGGCATGGGTGCTGCCTGCCCCGCAGGCACCTGTCGGAGTTTTGGCCAGTTGTGTATCATCTCCTGCGTCCCAGGAGCAGGGAAATAAAGGGGAATCTTGAATGAGCACGTGGATTTTGCTCCAGATGAGTGTGATCTCCTTCCCACTGCAGAGATGGAGCCTGCAGGGCTTCATCCCTGCCTGGGGGGCAGGCTCAGAGCAAGGGATGTGCAATGGGATTTCAGCTCTGCGTGGATTTTGCTCCAGATGAGTGTGATCTCCCTCCCACTGCAGAGATGGAGCCTGCAGGGTTTCATCCCTGCCTGGGGGGCAGGTTCGGAGCAAGGGATGTGCAATGGGATTTCAGCTCTGCTCCCCTGCAGAGGACATTGCTCCCCAGAGCTTTCAGGGAGGGTATGTACATTGGCAGGGGTCAGGAGCTTAAATCCCCATGTGGAACCCTCCTGTGCCCCTGTCTCAGCTGGAAAACTGCCACCAGCTCCCTGCGGTGGGGCCCTGTCCCCCAGAGGACATGGTGAGGTGGCTGTCAGGGTGTAGGGGCCAAAAGTACTGAGGATTCAGAGGGGAATTGCGCTCCCCAGCATCACCAGCCTTTCAAATTATGGAGCAAACAACAGAAGTATCACTGAGGGCTTGCTGTAAGCAGCCAAGCACCACTGCCTGCCCATGGTGGCCACAGAATGTTTGTTGCTCTCGTCCCCGATGTCGGACTCGATGAGGGACCTCATTCATCAGCAACAGGGTGAAACGAAAGAGCTGGGAAGCCAGTTCTCATAAAAATGCAGACTCTTTGGGCTATCATCTTATAGATTTGTTGCAGCAGCCTCAGAGGCTGTGAGGGTTGTGCTAGGTGCTGTACAAGGGAGGCAGACTGCTGACCTGTGTTTCCTAGGAGTTTGTGGATTCACTGGTGTCTGATAAGAGGTTAGGCTTTTCTTTCCCAGTGCCCTAGTGGATTGTTAACCTGCACTCAGGTATCTGTTGCCATGAAACTTTTCATTTTGGAGACCTCTAAACCAAGCTCAGTTGAAACCTGCCAATGGATTTTAGTCGTTTGGCAGCACAGACGGACACACGTACACATTTATACACCCACATTTATACACACACACACACACACACACGTAACATTTCTTTAGGAAAGGGGCTAAACCCAAGTATTTTCTCCCGGGAGCTGATCAACATTCATCTCAGTTTGGAGACCCCAGCACATCAGATAAAGTAACACTCTCGTTAATGTGAAAGGGTCAAGGCTCGGTCTAAAACCCACCCAAATCAAAGGAGAGACGCCAGCCGTCACCCCCAGGCTTTGCACCAGGCTGCTTTTTGACCACATGCACACAGCGCGTGATGCCCACACTCACCTATAAAGTCGTGAATGAGGTCCTTGATGAGATGCCCGACGATGGCGTACGCCACTGCCACCACCACCAGGGCTGCCATGAGAAGGTAGAGGACAGCCTTGGGCAAAGGAATGGCGTCTCGAGGAGGGGGTTTGTACTCCTTGTAAAGCTGGTCATTGTCTGAGTACGAGTACTGGAACAAGTGGTCCAGGCCAGCCGTGAAGTTGCTGGAGTTCATAGACTGGCTGTTGGACAGGTAGTTGTCCTGCTCAGGGTCCTGGAGGACACTTACCACCGAGCTGGTGGTGGCTTCCACTTGCTGTACCAAGTTCAGAGTCTTGTTAACGCTGGGCAGGATCTGGGAGAGGAATGTGCTCCAATCTTTGATGGCACTGATGTTGCAAATAATCATAATTGCAATGAGGAAAGAGATCTCCAAGCCCAAGAGATTTAGAAGGGAGAGAAAGAGGCGAGAACTGCTGTGCTTACAACAAACCATGTACTGCAAACTGGGCAGAGATGGTCTTGCTGGGGTAGGTTTCTCATTTGCAAATTCTTACATGATCCGATAGGGATGCATCTGCGGTACGTCGGTCCTCACTCATGGAAATGCCCACAGCAAACCCCTACAGGCATGAAGTTCCTTGGGAAAAAGTAGGTGCTGGAATGATTTTGACTGCTATCATTTCTGTTCCTCAGCCGTCTCTCCCGGACGCTACTTCCTGATGAAAACTGGAGTGACAGGATCCTGTAGGTATTTTCAGTCATCTGGAAAAGAAAGATAAATTGCCTTTCTCCAGCTTCTTTTCACAGGTGATGGTCCTCGGAGAGACAGAAGTCCCCCCGTTGCCGTCCCCCGGACTCAGTCTGGGTAACAGCAGGCGCAAGGTGTGCGGTGACTCTCCCCGTAACGCTGCCCGAAGCCTCCACAGAGGAGAAACCTCTATTCAAAACCCACAAAGTTCAGCTGCTCCCGGTGCGTGACGGTGCCGTCGGCACACAGCTCCCGGCCACGCCAGCCTGGCTTTCACCAACTTCTTTTGCCGGCATCTCCTGATCGATTCCTTTAAAAATAAAATCATAGTCAGATTTGTCAACGACCAGGACGGCGGGGATCCCAGCGCCTGGAATCCAGAGGGCAGCCCAGCTGAGGAGCAGCTGCTCTCGGGTTTTACCTTAAGGACTTTTGCAAGGGAGCAGATCTGCTCGCCCGGTGGTCCGGCTTGTTTTATTCATCTCCCGGCTCCCTACGGACCTCCCCGCAAACAGCCACCGATCCGGTGCCGCTGCCCGCCGTCTGCGGGGCGTGCGTGCGTGCACGCGTGCGTGTGTGTGTGTGTGTGTGTACACTCCTCCCCGTCCCTGTCCCTTCACCCCACAGCCCCGCTGGCTCTGCCGGCAGCGAGGGGGATTAGCTGCCGAGAGGTTGGCTCCACAACTCCCCAGCCCTCCGTGGAGCCGGCGATGCGTGGCGGGAGCACAGGCTCAGCCTCCGACGCTGCTCCCCGGGGAGTTAATCCTTTCCATCCCAAAAGACGTGCCTCCATCCAGCCAAAAGACGCGCATACCTTGATCCGGCCGCTGGATCTTCCCGGAGAGGTGGGGAGCAGCCGGCGTGCGTGTGGTGTGGGTGTGCGTGGGTACACGCGTGTGCACCGGGGAGCACGGCCGGCGTGTCCCAGCGGCAGCCCGGGCTCAGGCAGCGCTGGGGACGGAGCTGGTGTCCCCTCGGGGAAGAGTCCCCCAGCTCCAGCCCGAAGGCGAGGGCTGAGCACAGCCTTTGTCTGGGAGCTGCGCTGCCGGCAGAGAGAAATCAAATCACTGGCGCTGCCGGGAGGAGGGCGGACATCATCAATCCCACCGCCAGCATCCCGAGGGAATGATGGTCCCCACAGCCCCGCTCCCCCCTCAGCCGCCGCCCAGCAAAGTTTTGGCATTAGTGGGATGCCCGATTTGCAGAAAGCCCAGAGGATTCGGGGTTGATCTCCCTCGCCATCCCCCCTCCCTGGTTAGATGTCTGTGCAAACTGGTAAGAGCCAGAACTGTCCCTGGTCACCTTGATGCTGGGTTTAAACTGGTCCGGGTTCCCTACAAACACATCTCCGCATCCCCCTTGGCAATGGGGGGGATGCTGGCTTGGTTTGAAGGCACTGGGACTTATTTAAAGACAAGGAAGAGGAAATCTTCGAGAGGGGGGAAATTGTCTTTCTATATTTAGAGGTGAAAATAAATCACAGGTCCATTTTTCACATCTACTTTTTTTTTTTTTTTGGGTGCAGCTTCCCCATGTAAGAAATAGCTGTCACAAAGGCAAGGAAATCACCGCATTAGGCCTGAATGCAGCCAAATGGAGCTTCGGAGAAATAATAGCAAAAGATTAACTTTTTTTTTTTTTTTTTGGTGGGTATTACCAGCCAGCAGCAATCCTGCCAGCTGCCCGGGGGTTGGAAGAGTGTAGAATAAAATGGCAAAATCTCTCCCTTACAATAAAATCACCAGGGCTCAGGTAGATTTTGGGCATATTGTACAGCCCAGGAGCAAAGAAAATGGAATAAAAGCTTTTCTGCCCGCCTTGGAGCGTGCACAGACCAGGTCACACAGTCATCTGTCCCCCAGGACCATTTTACAGCCTCCTAAAATTTCTTCTCACAAGTGACAGAGCTGTGACAGGTTACAGAAACACATCTGGGCAGCTGCATGGGGACATACCCTGCAATGGGACATGTCCCAGTGTCCCCCTGCCCCAGCATTATGATGCCAGGGGCTGGAGCTCCTCCTCTGCCTCCAGAGCATGAAGCTGTAGGGATGCTTTGAGGGCCAGAGCTCCTCTCAGACTCTGAGTCCTGCCACAGCAGATTGTATCCTTCCAAGAGGGAAACTGAAGCAAGATTATGTATTTTTAAAGAAACTCTTCCATACAAGGCGAGTTTTGGACTCTATGCAGGGGTACCATAGTGCAGCTTGGCTTTGGCCCACTCTGGATGGCTGGAGCCCCCAGGAGGAGAGGACAACCCCTGTGACATGCCCACCAGTCCTTGGGCGCTGAAGCTGCTCTGAAACTGTATTTTCATCACAGCTGTTTGGTGTTAGCAGTTGCCATGGCACCAGTGCATCAACTGGAGGGAAAAGGAGAGCATCTGGTCTGGGCTGAGCCATCTCTGTGGCTGCGTGGATCTGTGTGTCACTGTCCCACATGAGCTCCCACCACACTTCATTCCCAGGAGGGGATGGAGCTGAGTGATTTGGGGCAACGTATTTGCAAAGGTATGTGCGTGTGGGGAGATTAATCAGAGGAACTGAGGGCAAAAGGGCATGCTCTGGCTCTAGAGGTCTTAAGGTCCTCACCACCTTCATGTGCTTTAATCAAACCTGGGTTAGAGTTCCCAGGAAGCTGGGTCAGGGTCTCTGCCACGTGTGATATGGGTCAAAACAGCCCTTGCAGAGGAATTCATAGGTGGTGAGGACTGTGAATGAATGCCTGAACAGGGTTGCATGTGAGAGACCCCCCTCCCCACCTATAAAACCAGGCTGACAGCAGCCCTTTCCTGCCAGCCATACCATCAGCCAACTGGTTTTTACTCATTTAAAGGCAAAGGGAGAATGTACTGAGACCTGGCTGACACCTTCTCCTCCCCACTGCTTCCCAAGTGCTGGCCAAAGGAGCCCCAGTACTTGGCCATTTCTGAGCCCCTGCACCCTGCCCAGCCGGGGTTCCTTACCTTTGGGTACCCTTGAGGGCTGGTACCTATGGAGATCTGCTCACAGAGCCCACCTGGACTGCCCAGTGGCTTGGCAGCGCGGATGCTGGTGGTCCCTGTCCTGTTGCCCACGTCCAGGGGCTGGCAGCACAGCTGGCACAGCTGGCACAGCTGGCACAATTCCATCTCCCACCCGGCTCCCTGGGAAACGCGTGGCGGTGAATCAGCACATCGGGAGGATGAAGCCAACCACCCAGGCTCTCTGCTCACAACTGGTGCCAGCAGCATGGACCTCACTCCAGCGGGACAGAGGACAATCCCCCTCGGTTTTCCACACAACACTTTTGGGAAGAGGCTGGGAAAGTGCTTGGGGGAGCTCTGAGGTCTGCTGCAGGCGCTGAATTCATAAAAGGGGCTTAGGGTGATACAAAAAACCACCCCTCCACCTTTTGAATTTCCCTACAGTGAAAGCAAAGTTGACCTCTTTCATCTTCATTAGCACCCATCTCAATTCAAAGTGACTAAATAGATGTTTAATTGTTTGTTATACACCCTCTGCATCTCTTGTCTGAAAGGGAGGCTTTATTTCCACGATTACCGTTTCCATCCCATTACAGAGGGAGAGAGCACGGAGAAATATAAAAGTGTGGACTTTAATAACCTTATATTTCAAACTCTCTGTTATTAAAAAAAAAATGTTTGCATTTGTTGTGATGGGGGGAAGATTAAAAGGATTGCCATGGGTTCCACTTAGGGAACATTGCTAATGATTTCGATAAATCACTTTAAATAAAAATCACAATCTCCACAATTCCACCCAAATGCCATTTGGCAGAGGGGTTGATTATGGGAGCAAAATGTATTTCAGAATTAGCTGCTTGTCCTAATGCAATTGGACAAATTAAATTTAGGGATACACACATATCCAATGACACACATATCTCACGCAGAAGAGCAGCGTTGTGGCCCCCGGGAACAGGAACAAATAATGTTTTAGTGGATTGAGAAAGATCTTGTCCCTCATGATGGATGGTGAGTGTTTGTTTCAGCTATTTCTTTAGTATTTTTATTTTATGGCTTAATCTCTACGTAACTACAGTCAAAGCACTGATGTTTTATTTCCATGCAGGCAGGACACTACTGGGACATGCCTTTGGTAATGCTGGTGTCCACACAGAGCTGAAAAACCTCTCTGACACGTCACAAGCGATGCCCTGAGCAGACAGTCTGGTTCCTTGTCTGTGACCAGGAGCAGATCCCAGGGTTTCTACAGAAGGTGAAGCCTGAGGTTGTCCTACAGCCCTGGTGCTTCCCCATGGCCAGAGATCTGACCCTGCTCCAGCTCCAGTGCTGGCAGCGTGGCCTCCTTTGTGACAGGGAAGGGATATGGAGGCAACGGGCTGAGGATGTAGCACTGTCAAGTGCAAACTGAGTTGTAGGGGTGGAGAGCAGCCTAGGAGTTCATCGCTGTCAAGTGTGTCATGGCACAGGAGGCTTTCTCCCTTGCCCTGGCCGAGAGCTAACCAGAAGCTGGCCGAGAACATAATCAGGAGGTGCAGCTCCAGCAGCAATATGTCCATCTGTCCTTTTGAGTGAGACATTCATCTGCCCTAGGGTAATTTTTTAGTTTTAAGGGGTTTTTTTGCATCTCTCTTCTGTGCTGGCTGCCGACACCATGATCTGATCCCCACCAAAGGTGCCACCGTGCCTCTTCAGCAGAATAACAATGAACAAAGATTTATGCCCTCATTTGGCACAAGGTAAAACGGGCTTCACAGGAGTTCTTCAAACCATTCAGATTTTAGCTGTGCAGGGTGACATCCACATTCACATCCAGATGCCAGCTCATGTCCCAGCCTTCCCAGGGATGAGGCATGCTGACCTTCATTCACCCCTGGATGGGTCGGACGCTCTTCCCTGCCTCCCTGCCATGGCTTCTGCGCTACACCCCGGAGCAGCAACTTCATTTCCAAACAAGTTCCAGACCTTTTCCAAAGTTTTGTCAGCAACCTTCTTGCATGACAAGAAGTTGTGAAAAATAGGCTTATCCTGGATTTCCGTTCCTGGCATCCTTCTTGCCCAGTGATTTCTGCTTGAAAAAAAACAAACAAGCAAGAAACAGCAGCAGCTTTGAGCAGATGAATCAGAGCGAACTATCTTTATCTGTCTATATATAAAAACACCTTTTAAAAAAAATGGAGTTTTTTTGATGCTGTATTATTCATGTTCCCAAAGCTGAAGAAGTCCAGATTGTAATAATAAGTGACATCATGAACATGCCACATTAAATGCAATGCCAAGGAAGATGTTTCCCTATTTATCTGCTGTCTCTGGTGAACAAAGTGGGGTTTTAACTCTGCGTGTGGCACCATCTCATGGGCAGCTTGGCTTATTCAATGGATTTGAGAGGCTGAAGGCATGAACAAAAATAACCAGCACGAAAAGCTTCCTTCGTGAAAGAAAGGGGAGCATTTCCCAAGTAAACAAGCCCAGGAGTAATGGAGGTGAGGTGGGAAGAGTGAATTACATGTTCTGTTTGCATCCCTAGAAAGCGCTGCATGGACACAGAACAGGTAAAAATAGATGAAAAGGGCAGGACTGAGGGGTTGGT